CGTGTAAAAAGTTACATATATATATATATATATAGACAGACAGGTAGATAGGTAGATAGATATAGATAGAGAGAGAGAAAGTTACTACAGCCATGTCATGATTGGGGAGCTACCTACTGTCCAAGGAACCCAGCTGTGAAAAAACAAAGTAATGCAACACAATTGCAACAGTAAGCCTTCAAATCGTAAACCCTACTTAAACCCAAATCCTAGCCGGACTGAGCGGAAACCTGCTAATTTCGACACTGGCAAACCCTGAAAGGTAGGGCAGTACGTGAAAACAGCTGAGCGGTGTCAATACACGACGCAACATCATGAAAGCCGTGCCTGTTTCGCATCGGCTTCTATCAACCGCAACGAAAACACATGCTGGCTCCAAGACCTCCAAGCCCCGTGGCACCCGGAAGTACATGATCCGGATTCATGAAGTCTCTCCACACTTCGTCAGGGTCTGACAGATGTATCCTCCTCAAAAGCCCCCAACTCAGAACAGCCCTTTTCGGCAAACAGTTAAATAGGTGTCAGGAGGCTTATATCTCGTTGCCATTCGATACCAATGAGGAGCTAACAGCTAATCTTCCCATCATACGATCAACCATAGAGCGGATGTCCCACCTCTAAACCAGCCCATGTGCCCGGGACAACCTCAACAAACCTCCGAAAACTCTACAAATCCTCCAAGGCAAAATCTTAAACCCCGACAGCGAACAACTGCAAATCCAGGCGGATCGCGATTTCTCGCAAGCAATAATCATCGCAGACGCACAGTTCCTGGGCGGTTCGGGATGCAGAGTTTCGATTCTAAGTATGGAAGCCGTCAATGTTCAATCCCGGTTTATGGCATGGTGCTTGTGACGCGCAGGTCTTGAGATTTTCCGTCCCAAACATGTCAACATTTCCTATGTCGGCATACTGAGATACCATATCACGATATACCCTAAACCCTAAACCCTAAACCCTAAACCCTAAACCCTAAACCCTGTAAAATCTACGTACCAGGATGCCGCAGCGAGTGACGTGAGTCTGTCAGGTTTCGACTCCAAAGGCGAAGGCTACTCAAACGTGCCCAAGCCACATTACACCCTGTTGCGTCCCGTACTAAACTATGTGGGAGTTTCAGAAAATAAGGGGTACCTTAGTTTGGGGTCCTTATAATTTGGATCCTACTATTTAGGGTACTATATTAGGGTCCAAATTTCGGAAACCCCCATGTGGTCACTTGACGACAAGGTTATGAGCTTCGTAATACGGACTTAGAACCCTAAACGCCTTATAGGATTCTAAATATGAACCCCCAAAAGGAACTACTTTGGGGCGCATGGGTACACCCTAAACACCACACCCGAATTGGGGGTTTCCGAAAATAGGGGACCCTGATATAATATAGTACCCTAACTAGTAGGATCCTCATTATAAGGACCCCAAAATCAGGTACCCATTATTTTCGGAAACTCCCAATTGTGGCACATCACAATTTAGGCCTTCCGAGGTTAACTCGGCCGCTTCTGCACTTCGCCTCCCTGCTGCGATCTTAAGCCTCATTGCCTACGGCGGTTGGTTTAGGGTTTAGGGTTTACGGTTTACGGTTTAGGGTTTACGGTGTAGGGTGTAGGGTTTAGGGTGTAGGGTTTAGGGTTTAGGGGACCCGGAGGACATCCCACAGAAGAGCATCAAATGGGTCGCGGGGGCCTTCACCCGAAACGATGAGCCACAACGAGGCCTGCGCCTGAACACTTGGGGCATGTTCAAGGTTTAGGAGTTTAGGGTTTAGGGTTTAGGGAGGCAGGAGTTTTTGGAACCACCAACGCCGCTCCCTCCCCCCCAAAAAAAATCGCGCAAAAACTCAAGAAACTTCAAAGCTTGCAATCGAACGCACTTGATTAAACAACACCCGTGTTCGTAAAGACACCAGGAGGAAAGAAAACAACCAAACTCAATAAACCCAAACACCGTCACACGTCTTCCGGAACAGAAGGCACAACATCCAACATCAATTCAGCTGCAAACTCGTGAACATGAGGCCTAACTGAAGCATGCATGTACGAGTAACATGATCCCATGGAAAGATGTAAGAACATCCAAAACCCGAAACCCGAAACTCTAAATGCACAAACTCCTCAAGCACACAAGCACCAGCATACAACCTTCCCAGCGAGGCCCCGGCCAACTTACCCGTCCGATAGAACGCCTGGGTTGGCGGTTGAAGGTTTAAGGTTTAGGGGTTAGGGGGCTGCGCTGCAACGATCAGGGGACTTAGAATAGACCAGCGGTCATAAGAGGGGTTCTTTGCACCTCGATTGCTAAAGTCAGTCTGTACTGCCGACTTACTACGTCCCCAGATCGTTCGAATAGGCATTGGGTTCAGCGGTTTAGGGAACCCTAAACCCCTAAACCCCTAGAGCCCTAAACCCCTAAACCCCTAAACCCTCAACCCCTACAGCCCTAAACCCCTAAACCCTAAACCTGGCCAAGGCTGGGCGGGCTCATGCGTGAGCCTCGG